GGTGCAAAAGGGGGTGGTTGCGTAAGAAAAATATACTGACGTGTGGAAACCCACTGCACCCAGCCAGTCGACAAGAAGGCGGAGGTTTGGGTTCAGCGTAAACTGTTCACAGTCAACAGGTACATTGGCAAATGTGTCCAAAATCGTAGAAAATCGGGGAAAAGAGAGAAGGGGGTAGTCGAAACCGAAATGCCGGTGCTCATTGTCGTGCGTAACTGATGTGTCAGAAGAATTTACAAGACCCATAAGCGATTTTGGGATCGGCGTCTAACACTGACCAGAAACAGCACTCCGCTGGCCACTCATGCACCGTACTGGCCCGATTCGCATCAAACGTACATCTGAGATCATTTACCGGAAAGGGAATACAACTGCTGTCAAGCCAGCTACGCTGGTGAAACGGAAATGCATTCCAGAATGTTGGCTAACATTTCATGAGATTGGTTACGCACTGGTGGGTATTTGCGTGGTCCAAGGGCTTGTCAGGATCATCAAACCATGACCCTCGAAGTCTGCTATGCGCTGGCAGTCCCCTGACACCTGTTTCCCTGCTGATAGATGCGTTTGCGCTCCCGCTGGGTATGCAGGATGTGATTATAGCTGTCCAGTCATCCTCGTCCCTCTGACCCGTTGTGATGTTTTGTTGTTGGTCATAATCCTAGTGAGGTGTTTGTTGGGGACCAGGGGGTGTGAAGTAAAGAGTTAAGGTGTGGGTTCGGCCGTGCCAACCACCTGAACCCTATCCCTTTTTCGGATTACTTGACTCTTCTTGACACCTGTTCCAGATGGCGAAGGAGGAAGGAGTGAGGTAGTTGTACCGCATGTCCGCTATCATTATAAACGCGCAAGTCACCGTCCCTGCGTCCCCTCGCAATAGAGCACACGGTGAACATCGTCATTTACAACGGTCAAACTGTCGGGTATCTGTAAAGATATGGTAATTTTGATGGAAGGGGGCGCCCACCGTTCGTTCTTACGGAACTCACTCGTTCCTTTGCGCCTTATATTTTTCTCTCTCGAGTCCAACCAGCAGCCGCACCGCGGCGCATGATATAGGCAGAATGATATTACCAACAAAGACAAGGGAGACCGGAATGGCCATTACTGGCTTATTAGCCATCGTCAGCCAGTCATACCCATCCCCGAAGTGTAGAACACCCGAGGCTCGAACTCGCGACCTGTTTGTTAGAAGTCCACGCCTCTAACCACTGAGCCACGAGCCCGTTGTCCTGTCGGTTTTAGATCGGGAATATACAATGGTAGGGGGCGCTCACCGATCCTTTTTTACGGAACTCACTCGTTCCGTTGTGCCTTATGGACTCTCTCTCGAGCCTAACCAGCAGCCGCACAGCGACGCATGATATAGGCAGAATGATATTACCGTGGCTCAGTGGTTAGAGGTGTGGACTTCTAACAAACAGTTCGCGAGTTGGAGCCTCGGGTGTGCCACACCTTGGGGTTGGGTATGACTGGCTGACGACGGCTAATAAGCCAGAAATGGCCATTCCGGTCTCCCTTGTCTTTGTCGGTAATATCAATCTGCCTATATCGTGCGCCGCGGTGCGGCTGCTGGTTGGGCTTGAGAGAGAGTCCATAAGGCACAACGGAACGAGTGAGTTCCGTAAAAAACGATCGGTGACCGCCCCCTACCATTGTATATTTCCGATCTAAAACCGACAGGCCAACGGGTTCGTGGCTCAGTGGTTAGAGGCGTGGACTTCTAACAAACAGATCGCGAGTTCGAGTCTCGGGTGTGCCACACTTCGGGGATGGGTATGACTAGCTGACGATGGTTAATAAGCCAGTAATGGCCATTCTGGTCTCCCTTGTCTTTGTCGGTAATATCTTTCTGCCTTTGTTAATTTTTCTTGCGTTATACTTTCGCGAATCGCACATTTTTCCCACCGCCTCGCTTGGAGTAAGACTTTGCGTAGATACTGGAAAATGGGCATCACAAGAAATAAACATAAGTTCACATATGTTCATTGGGAAAAGAAAGTTTACTGTGTAAATTTTCGACGCCGTGTGCCCTGGTCGTCGTCAGCCGATAAAGGAAATCAAGTGCACCAACACTTAAAGTATTTGTACTTTCTTGTATGCTTAAAATTCCCCATAGCGACAGAAAACCTCACGATAGGTGAGCGGATTACCATCCAGAGCATCATTGTACAAGCCCCAGGAGATCGGAATCAATTTTCAGTTCACAAAAAGGCTGTACCACTGCAATCGACAGTACCGTGAATCGATGCATCCAGTTGCAAAATTCCTAAGTGGTTATTCCACAAGCTTCATCCGCCTACGATGAATTAAACAACTTCAATTGAGAACTCAACAAAAATTTTAAACAAAGAAAGAGGAACCGCAACTGTTACTGATGAAATTGGAAATTTCTTTGATGCCGTTTCCCTCTTCGTATCCACATCGTTATATTTAACAGAATGGATCTCAAACAGACTCTTGATGTCTTACGATAGGAATTTTCCGGAATCTGTGTTATTAGAACCAACTTTTCATTCGACCGGCAATACTATCAGCGACTAAAAGGGGCTCCTATTGGGTCACGCATACCTGATGTTTTTCGCCGAAACCACAATGCAGGAACTAGAGTCTACGGCTCTCCCGGTAGTTACTTCTAAATTGTGACTGCGACATTTAGACGACACAACGTCGTTAAAATGGACTAACCGGAGACACTCCACAACGCTACAAAATCGGCAATTCAGGGGACAAATTTTACACTGGAATAGAAAGTTAGCAGCAAGCCTTCATATTTCATAGAAACGATGCATAAAACATTCATTATTTTACTCATTTGGAAGGAAATCAATTCTTTCCGATTTTACATTCGGTTTCCGAATTAAAATTCGGTTTAAAGAAAGTTCAAAATATGAGATTTTTTAAGGCCTTGAAATATCCGCTCATACAACATCTTGTCTCTGCATTTACGAATGTTGCTTGTGAAGTTTTCAAAAGGCTTCAAATCCACCGCCAGATTATATGAATCGCATACGGTTTTCTCTTAATAACATATACGGATGTATGATTTTCCGCATCTAAAATATAAACAGCTTGCAGTATGGATACCCTGAATGCAAATGTGACGGCAAGTTGGGTTCAAAATTATTTGGGAATTGTAAACGTTTCTGTTAACCGAATTCTAACATTTGGTCAAGTATGAAATTTAAATAAGACGTTTTTTTAAAACAAATGAGTAAAATAATAAATATTTTTATGCATGTTTTCTTCAAAATATATTCGAATTTATAAGAGCATCGATAACCAGTAAGAAAAATGCAACTACATAAGTTATCATTCTGCCCTACTTCCCCAGCTGAGCAGCTTCATATGGATTGGTACACAAAAGTGGACAAAAATTAAGTAATAAAAAGTGGGATTTTTATCCGCTGAGCCGTTTTGGAAAATGCTGGTAAAAGTGAGGCGAACAGCCGTAAGCTGCACGTCGGTGTAGGTGCGTAGCAGCAGTTCCTGGAAACAATAATCTCATATCCGACTATTAGATTAAAGGTTTTCTGCAGTATTTAGAATTCCCTATTGTCGCGAAAGTTAGCTTGGAACTGGGGCAAAATAATTTTCACAGAAGATGTTCGAGAAATGTTCATTTTTAATCTTAGTTTCACAGTTTTGTTAATCAAGTATTTAAACATACTCCATGCACTACAGGGTTGATAAATAAACATCGATTAGCGTATAGCAAATGCAAGTTAGGATGAAAATCTACTTTGCGAAACCCGCTAACCATTTCCGTGAACAAACAGTAATCGGGAAACATTTAGCAGCTTGTCAGTTTTTTTGCACTAACTGGGCAGTCTGTCGACAAATATCCAAGTGTTAGGAAAATCGGGTAGAATTTGGAAGACAGTTTATATGTAACGTCAGCCCAGACTTTAAGCCGACTACCTGGCGAAATCTGACTTGCGCAACAATTGCTTCTGAGGAGCCCTGATATTCGGCCGTAGGAAAAAAAACAACCGTTTGCACACATAATGACCCCAGTTTGGAACTCTTAAGAAAGAACCCGACCTCGTTGGTATAAGTGAAGTCACCTACAAATCTTTAACTAGATGAAGTGATTCAATGTTTATGAGCAAACTGAGGGACCATCAGTTATTTCGTACACGTTGACAAAGTCGAAGGCTGAGAAGACGAGAATATGTACGTAAATGTTGATGCAGATGGCGAACATAGGGCGCGCATTAGCTCGAAATTGAACTCGCATTCCTAATGTCCACTCAACAAACGAAAATCGTGACCTCTGGAAAATAATGTCTCTTTATTAGACATGCATTATTAAGACAAAGGAGAGCGGTTGAGAAATAGATATAGGAGAAGAAGAAGAGACGATATATATGCACCAACGACAAATGGGGATCAACGCAGCCCGTCCGCACCTAGTGTCCGAATGAATTGGATGTGAGTGGCGCAAAATGCAATCAATCATATGATTTTTTAGGCGGGGTCACAAAACTAGTTGTGTATTTATGCTTCCTTCACGCCGCCGCACATTCACGGATGCCGCAATATGATTGATTAGCGTTCGCCAAAAGTCGTCCAAGTTTACTCAGTCTTAATTCATTGTCTCCATCAGGTAATTAGATCATGCTTAGCTGATGTCCTATTTCAAGTTCACGGATTCAAGGATAACAATAAACCACACAGGCAATTCTGCAATCGTTTACTTTACATCCACTTATTTAAAATTTAATGGCGAGAGTCAGACATATTTTGTCCCCCGCCCGTGGGCTGACAGCTAATAACAAATTTTTATGACGATTAATAGGGTAACACACCATCAGATATGATGAGCAATTCATTTCTTTTCCAAGAATTATTTAAAAACTTGCTAACGGTACTTCTATGAGAATCCCCAACGGCAACAGATTTACGAAAAAAGAAACGATATAAATGGAATGATGATTAATTTATTTGGGGTTACACAATGACATAAATATCGTCGCCAGTGTAAACCGTAACGCTCCTTTTTATAGAATGCGTCCAAGCAGCGATACGCAGTTACCGAATCCACAGTTAACACCTGAAATTTGCAAAAGAAAACAGCCTAAATTAGCGTTTATATTTAAAGGCTATGCGATTGAGGGCGTTAGTAAAAGAATTCTTAAATTATATTCATTTATTGAGTGGACTTCCTTACAAAGAGTTTCCAACGAACATGGCTCTAGAAATTTCAACCATTTATCACGTTTCATGACGATAGCCCAAAGTGACATTAAATACTTCGCATAATCAGCTACAAACTGAGCATTCTCTTAAGTTATTTGGTCCGAAATAAGCGAGCAGTGTCTGAATGTCTTGCAAGGGTTTATCAGATCGGCGTCGAAGATATCCGTAGCATACAAAGTAATCAGTAGTTAAATCATGTCTGTCGAAAGATTCATTGTGATTTGCTCGATACCCACCAATGTGTTTTAAATGGCTAAACCTGTCGTGTTCAAAATGTTCATCAAAATTCGAAAAGCCCTAGTGCAACTTAAGGGAAACGCGAGTGGTTTTCGGCTTAACGAATTTCTCCAGTAACTACAAAAGTTGATTTCAGTTGTAGAACATGTTCTAATTTTCCCGACCACTGATGTGCCTCAGACCGCTAGCGGAGACCAACCTCTTTATGAGTAACAGATGGATGCCACAATGTACTACGGAGTGTATGTATGGACATCGAACGATCTTAAAAATCTTATAACTAGAAGTGTTTTTTAAAAAATATGTACACGCTTTCTTTGGGCATAAAATGTAAAAACAATGTTATTTTCTACCGAACAAGTAAAAGAAAGCATATTTTGTGCGTGTTATCTATAAAAATATTTGAATTTATAAGACCATCGAAAAACAATGTGAAAAATACATTCTACTTAACTACTCATTTTTGGTGAGTGTGGCTTCTATAGGAGGTTGCAATGAAGTGCATTCAAAAGCCAACATCCTAACGAGTCCGAAATACTATGAAAGTTTGTTGCTTGATAAGCAACATTACAACCCAGCCTAAGGATTCCTTCCTTATCGAAAACGCATTTCAGAATTTCGGTAAAATTTCATCAGATCGGTCACACACTGCACACCATAAAAAAACGGATGCTCTTAGGTCATATCCACGGGCCCTGAGCTCCATTAAGCCTTGCAAACAGCTCGAGGCCTCCCACACCTTTGCATCAGGCATTAGCACAATGTGTAGAATGCTTTTTCCGACGCAAGCGGGTGCAGACATTGCATCTTCTTATTATATATGTACCGCATGGAAGGCATTAAAGACAAGCCAGTCTCTTCCAGCTTCCATTTACGTTGCATTTGGTAACTCCCAAAAGCATTTTTATGATGCAGGGTTACACTCGAGTTAGTCGCACACGAATTTCTTCGTTAGACCCTGTGGATTGTCGCGTGTTAATAAAAAAATTTTTCTTCTTTTTTCAATTTATTAGAAATGGAATTAGCAGGAATGTAATTATGCGGTAAACTGATTGACACATGAGAATGCTCGAAGCGGCGGCGCCGGCGATGGAATGCGGATCAATGATTGGCAGACAAAATTGCAGTTTTATCTAAGTCCTTCCAGTTGCTGTCGCCTGGACCATACTTTTCATTCTCGGATTGCAATATATCCCTTTTCCAAAGTTAACATTTTTTCTTAACTATTCAATATCTAAAAAACTGCCCAGCTGTTTGCAATGCGAGAAATTGGTCGTCTTCGTAATATTACGGAGTTTGCTCCAGTGCGGTTCGGGGTGCTTCTACACTGAACTGACTTTGGCACAGTTTACGCAAATGTATGGGATTATTTCCCATAACCATAATGCTTAAGTGGTTAGAAGAAATGTGCAGATGTGTAGCATTTATAATGGTACTTGAATACGCAGAACGTGACAGCTAGACATTTCATGAACTGGCATATATTAAGCATGATGCGTTGCTTTATGGAAAATTCGGATTAAATGTAAACACAACGGTTTTTAGACTATGTATGCCCACAAATAATTAAAATGTGCGAGGCGTAACTAATAATAAATAAAAAGCACTATTCGACAGTCGTAACTGACAAATATGTGTGAGGCGCACTCGTGTATTGTTCAGATGTCTATGAAAAAACATGCTGTACTTACCGTCAGTTACCATACAACTCTGCGATGGACGTCTGGAAAAAACGTACGATAGGACGCTGTCCTGCTCAAACTCCTCGTTTATATTTTCGAAATGAACTTGTGCTCCGGTCCGTGGTTGCGTTCTGCGACCAATTTTTACGTTTGGAAGCAAAGTGAGGGTGTTGTTTCCGTCGTACTGGAGCTGCAAAATGGCATGCACATTGTCTGCCCTTCGGCCGTTCTGCTGGCCGACATCGTCGGTCATCTATTCGAGACAGAAGCGCAGTTTGAGAAATTGTCATGTGCTATGAGAATGGATTTTTTATTGAAGGTAAAGCAGGCCGTTCCTATAGGCTGCTGAGATTCTAACTTGTCACCGATTGCAACGTCTTTGGAAAACCGTATTTCGCAGCATTTTTTAAATAAAAACATTGATTGGAATTATGACTGGTGGGACGAGGACCAAGATGTAACGAATTAGCCTCTGAAAAGTAAAGTCCTAATCCCCATTACGATATGAACAGGCACGTCCAACGTTTTCGGAAATCTAACATTCGAAAGGTAAGAACGATCGATAGTTAACTAAAATATTGCTTTTTAGGATACGCATATTGTCTGTTCAATGATGTTTTATAGCAATGGTGAGCCAGCAAATCCTGCCTCCAAATAACCACCCCACATCATCTTTGGCAAAATGCATGTTATGCAGCATAAAGTACTTCTAACGACGGGGCATGGGATGTGAGCTGTTAAAATTGGCATATCTTACCCCACAATGATACCTGGCGACGACTAGAGCCACATCCAATTCGCAGGTTATCAAACCAAGTCGACTGTTATCGCTGGCGGCGGTGCAAACACCATTCTCTCCAAATTGCAGGAGGTCTATTCTGTGCATGCACCATACATTTGTCTTCCTGAGATTGTATCGGACAGTCTGGGGAGGACGTAACATAAGATGTTGAGCATTGAGCGGCGACAGGGCCTTCGTGAATGACGGACATCGATTTTCACCTATAGCCATAAGGTCAAAGTGTTAGAAACTGAATACAAAAGGTAATCCACCCGTGAATAAAGCGTAAGCGAAAAAGGCGCGTTAGAGACATGGAGGAATGAGTCATTTACCTGTGAAAAAAGCTGATGCGAACACATGCAGATGAAAGAGCACTAATATGTAATACATCTTTTTGATGAGTGAAGTAGGCTCAAGTGCTGCACACGTTTCAGGAATGGCTTAAATAAGCTCGTTGATGTCTAGACAGACGCTGCCCAGACATACAGCACCGTCAGCAGCACACACTAAAGTGAATTCGTTTCACCTGCCCTATCCAATAAAATTGCCCCCTCCATAGTACAGGAATTGAAAATGGATAGCAATATTATAAATGCAAACAACAACTTTTTATTCCGTTCGCATAAAACTTGTCAGATAAATAGATACCTGATAAATAAATATACAAAGTGTTCAGTTTTTCCGGAATAAGTCTAATAATAATGCTTTTTCTTGAACTTTGGTGCAATAATTCTAGGGGTACAAGCCTAAAGCATAAAACCCTTGAAATTTGAAACCTCACAGGAGGGTGTAACGTCAAACAGATATGATTACATTTAAGGCGGCCAAAATTCTTTATAAAAATCGATGGCTGTCTAAAAAATGCCGCAATAATATTTTGACTGTAAAGTAAAGTCTGATACAGAGTCGATGAATGCGCACTTACCTGGGCATTCACGATGTTTTTCTGCATACCACACAGAACTTTTGCTCTGGCAGTACACTGAACTAATCCTGTGTGACAAAAATAGGCCGGCACGCACTCGCATGTGGAAGGACAACTGACGAGCCCAACCCCCGCAGCTGTGCCATGCAGCGACAAAGTATCGGCGAAACACGCGTGTATGGGCTTTTGGCTACTTCCTGTGCTGTTAACATGGAATCACTTTACACTTAAGTTTTAAGAAATCCGTGTGTGCATGGTGTAGTCTGGTGAGCACGGCATGCGGCTCGAGGGCTCAGAGGAAAATAACTGACCGGCAGTCGGTTTCATCGGGTATGCCACCGAATGTATATTCCGCACTACAACAGTACCACAAATAATAGCTTTTTGGATGTAACACCGGTTTTACCGTACTTCGACTGTAGGTGCCACCCAAAGATTAGGCACGGCTTTGCTGAACAATTTATTTTTTAAGTTAAGGTTATTTAGGATGATTCATTTGCAGCATAAAAGCTGTCCCATGAAGTGTTAATCAAAATCCCGAAATGTGTCTGCGATTAGAAAGCACAACCATAGAAGGGCTTATAAAATTTAGAATTAGGTAGCTTAATCGCACGATATCTCAGTCATTACAGGGGCTGTCTTTTGGATGCTCTTCGTTCCGGCCAACTATAAAAAGCAAACTTGGTAAAAATGACAACTTGAATAGCATAAGTTGTTCTGCTTGTTCTTTGGTGCCGGTGTAGATTCAAATGTCCGTCATATATAAAGCGCACAAAATATCTTTCCATGCACCTGTCTGCCAACAAAATTTGCCTTAAATAAAAGGTATGCTCGAAGAAAGCGCTTTTGATTTCCGAGTAATTTTTATGCCTACTCGAATTTGTAAGGTTTCAAAATCATGTACTGTATATTTGATATGTAATGCAAGTTGTGTAATTCCATAACCGACATACAGCGCCCAAAATCGGAAAGTGAATGTGTGCCATGTTGTATAGGTCATAAGCAGCAGTGGTAGATGGACAGATACGATGCCTGATGAATATACATTTCAGGATACCAGAATGATAAGCATAAAAATCGCATTTAAATCGAGTAACACATCATCATGCATGACTAAGATACGGGACGTGATATGCTGTCAGAGGAGTACAGAAAAGTTTATTTTTGCACATTATATCGAAAAAAATAAACAAGAATATATTAATATAAAATATTTGTGCTACCGAAATAATGCCTTTTTCAGCATGACTTAAATGTCATAGGATTGTACTGCATGAAAATTAATATACAGTAGATGTATTAACTCATGAAATGTCAACCGAAATTTCGAAATGCGTTCTCGTTTCGTAAAGAAAAATTAAGTAGTTTTGTAAAACTTATCATGATGCAGCATAAATCTATAATGATCCAGTTACCTCAGGGTGTCAGCTTTCGAAGGAACTTATTTTCGGCTGCATGCAAGATCTATACTCTGCAAAAAATGACTATTTAATTAGCATGCAATTTTTTCATTGATTTTCAATGCCCTTGAAAATTAAATTATATTTCATGGAAAACATGCATAAAGATATTCATTCTCTTACTTATTCGGTAGGAAATCACGTCTTCTTCCAATTTCATACTCAAAAAAACAGTATAATTCGGTTTTAAAAAGTTTCTAATTGTGAGATTTTTTTATACCGTTAAATGGCCGTTCATGAAACGTCATGTATGTGAATTTACGAATGTGGCTTGTAAAGTTAACAATATTGCTCAACTCCACTGCTTAATTTTATGAACCTCATATGGTCTCCTCTTAACACCGTAGAGAAATTCATGCGTAACTTTTGGAATATGAAATGGATGCCTGCAATAGGTGGGCTTACACTTGAAACGTTAACCGAAAATTTGAAATGCGTTTTCGTTTGGAAATGATTGATTAAGTAGGGGTGTAAAACTAGTTATCATGTAGCATAATTCTATAATAATTCAGTTACCTCAGGATACCGGATTTCGAAAGAAACCCTTTGGGGTCGCATTCAAAAGAACCATACTCTAAAAATTTACAACTTGAGAAACTTGATTTTTTCATGCTGATTTTCGTCGTCATAATGAATTCAAATATATCTTGTAACAATGCATAAAAATATTCATTCATTGCTCATTTGATAGACAATCACGTTTTATTTCAATGTTGTCCTTGCAGAGGGGGTATTGTTCGGTTGTAAAAAGTTTCTAATCGTTAGGTTTTTCAAAACCGGCAACTGCCTATTTACAAAGGAGTGTGTCTTTGCATTTGCTAACTAAACTTGTTAACTTTATAATATGGTTTAACTTCGCTGTTAAATTTTTGGAAATCCATATGATCACCTCCTAAGACCGTGAAGAAATGCACGGTTTCGCGTACGCTTAAAATTTACGGCCTTTTTCAGCGAGACTGTCGGACAGTCGAAACAATATTTACTCAAAATCTGGCAAACTGGCACGACTGAAATGTTATGGGATTGTACTGCATGAAAATTAATATAATAACCTTATCTAAGAATCCCTTTGGTTTAAAAGCAGATTTCAGTCTTTTGGTCAACATTGCTTGGGATTGATTAGTGGCTGTAGAGCAAAATAAAATTTCTTAGACTTTTAAGTTTTTATGCAAGAGACGAGACTCAGACGTACAATCACGTTTAATGACTTAAACTGTATCTTTTGTGTGATCATACATTTAACTATCCCAACGTGTAACTTTCCGAATATGAACTGTATGCACCACCTCCACCGGCCTCCACCAACAACCTCCTGTGCATTTTGTTCTCGCTAACGATTTTGTAGTTCGCAGATAAAGGAATGGTAGTATTTATTTCGGCAGCAAAAAAACGAAAAATGAGACGGGAAGAATAATAAAGTTCCACTGCTAAGCAGCACTCAGTGTGAAAGACTTTGCGTGTGGAGCTTGCTGTTGCTTCCGCCACCTGAACTTTCAACATCAAAAATCGAACTCTACTGTAAGTTCTCTTTCACGGTTCACGCTGCACGCTGTCTGGCATGGTGCAGACAGAAATTCGCATGAGCTTTTCATTTTCTTCAGTCGCTGCTTCAGGTGGGATGACTCTAGACTGTAGGTAAACGGATATCTGCACTTTAAACGACACTGGGTGCTAACCAAATTCCCATCTGCATTGTTGATGCCAATTTCTCACTCGTGGGCAGCTTTATGTGTGCCGCAGTCTCTTGATTTTAAATCCAGATAAATTTAGGTTTTTCCCGTTGAACTATCCAATCTGGAGGTGAATATGAAAAGGAATTAGAGCAGACCAACTCAGCAGTTCAAATTATATGTAGATGATACTTAATGAAGCCTAAGACTACAGGTGTATGTGACGTGAGAGCGGATTCTGTGGGCAAAAGCGGTCAGACAGACAGTCAGCGTAAAACCCGCCGCATTACTTGTGTGCGGTCACATCGCAAACAATTATGGAATAACAGACTTAATAAGTACAGTTATGTGGGGGTTTTCCCTACGAACTGACAGACAGAACTCGGAGGTCGTGACCCATTCAAGTGAAGAGCTCCCATAGTACTTTCCAGAGGTTTGACCAAAACCCACTGAATACCACTAAAGAGTTCAAAAACGGCTCTAAAACAGATATAGTCACTCTGTACCTGATGTTCAGAAATGATAAAGTTGACTGAATGAAACGTTTAAAGTGCTCTACCGCAGACAGTCCGAAATTACCTAGCGTGCCCAATGAAGTGAAAAACATTGATAACGAGCCACGACCTTATGCGAAATTCCACCAAAAACACCAGTGCACTGTGCCAACAACATGAGATTGTAGTCCAGTTTTAGAGTTCTTTGTTCGCTGATAAACACATTGTGGCGACAGGTAAAGAACTCAAAAATTCCCCGACTTTGTGAATTCGCTGGGCTCAGCCTTAGCAAGATGACAAATGTTGTATAGGGCCAAGCTCTGTGTATGGGTATGCGAGGACTTTAGAGGTTAAAGTTCACTGTTGTCCGAACTACCTGAACTGTGAGCCTTATATATCGATTAATTTGCACTCCGAATTACAGAAGATATCCAGAATTCCCCCTCGGTATTGTCATCTCTAAAATGCAGCATCGCAAGTTCTTTATCATGTGCGTGGACTTAGCATGCTGTCTGAAATTATGCAGACAGAAATAAGAATGACCTCTTTAGTTAATTCAGTAACTTCTTTAATTGAATTCGCCCCAGACTGCACGCAAACGGACATCTGCACATTAGAACTCACTGCGTACTAAGTTACCGTTAACAGCGAAATTCCATATTTGTAGTATTGATGCGATTTTTTTCAATTTTGGACAGATTTAAGTGTGTCGCAACCTCTCGCTCTAAATCTATATAATTTTGGGTTTTCCCTGCTGACCGAACCAATCCGCAGACACAGTATTTTCGACCACATTCATTGCGGCCAAGGGCTGGCGGTACTGGCGTTTCTGATATGGGTT